GGAGCTGGCAGTGGGTAGTACTGACAAGGCTAGCTCAGACGGTACAGGCTGGCCAATCGGTTTGCTTAAATGGTGAAGAGAGTAGCGAGATGCGCAGTTGTAAGACCACAGGTTGCAAGTGGCCTCGGGGTACAAGCGGGGTTCCTGCACAAAGACCCATGGGGGGAGCGTGTTAAAGTGCGGGCTGCGTACAGTATACTTCTTTTACGTGGAAGTACTGACAGGTGTTCGTTGTAGGCTGGCCTTCCAGTAATTGCTGCGAGCACTGATCGTAAGGCTGACCTGGTTCAACAATCGTGGGTAACTTGATAGACTTGTAAGATTGAGGTGCAATGGTCAAGGTATGCCTGCAGTGGGGCCATCTCCCTGGCGCCCAGGGGTGTCCGACATAGTTGCTTCCATCCCACTCATCCCCCTGGAATCCATCCCTCCTCCCTCCTCCTACAGGCCAGGGTGCATCATCTGCTGTACCAAGGTATATAAACCTTACATGGCCTCACAGATCTCGCTCCCTCTACCTTTTCCCCTCCATCATCCGTCTTCAATATTTACAGCCAACACGTTAACTGTATACCGCGCTCGTCCCCTGCTCCATTTGTTGCATGTGCCATGCAGCATGCCCTGCTTTCACTGCTTGCCTTGACTAAGTATGGTGGTGGAGGGGTGGAGTCATTTGTGGCGAAGGAGGTTCTAAGTGGCTTAACTTATTGCCCGTACGGCTGTGCCCACTGGGATCTGACACGAACACTTGGCGGCAGGCTAGTTTACGTCGCCGCCTTAGTTTCCTGTGCACCTCTAGCTCGATCCCTCTTTCTCGTTATCTCCCTAGATGTTATCATCAGTATGTTTCGTATGATGTTGCACCTCTTCTCCTCAACGACCCAGGGCGGTGTTACTCTACACCCTGATCGGCTACTCTGCTTGTCTCTCTGTTCGCACGTCATGTTCTGCACGCGCCGTCTGCTTATTTGGTTTTTCGCTATACCTAAGTTGGCCTCGCACTGTTTTAGTTTGTCCACAGGAACGCTCGAGCCACGTAGCTACAGTCTGACCAGCGTCAAAAAGGAGGAATGAGGGAAGAAGAGGAGGGAAGAAGAGGAGGTAAGAGCAGAAGGTGAAGGAGGAGGAGGAAGAGGAGAAGGAGGAGGAGGAGGAGGAGGACAGCACTGGTGTACCACTGCCACTCCCTCGTCGCCACGCCAGGCTCCCTCGGAGAGGCGGTGTGGTGGGCATCTTCTTGCCCCACCGACGCAGAGGAAGGAGGAGGAGGAGGAGGAGGAGGAGGAGGAGGGGAGGAAGGAGGAGGAGGAGGAGGAGGAGGAGGAGGAGGAGGAGGAGAGCAGGAGGAGGAGGAGGAGGAGAGGAGGAGGAGGAGGAGGAGGAGGAGGAGGAGAGGAGGAGGAGGAGGAGGAGGAGGAGGAGGAGAGGAGGAGGAGGAGGGAGGAGAGGAGAGCCCCCCCCCAGAGGACCTGCTGAGCGCGCAGAGCGACGACGAGCTCGGGTACCACTCGTGCAGCGAGGACGGCGCCAGCACGGCTGGCTCGCCGAGCCCGGCCCACCGCCGGTTCACCGAGCCCGCCCCGGCGCTCGGGCCGCCCCTGGGCGTGGGCGCAGGCGTTTCGGGTGCACGTGAAGAGTGGTCCTGCGCCCGAGGGACCTTTGGCGCGCGGCTGGACGTTTCCAGGCTTTTTCGTCGGCTCCCAGTGTCGAAGAAAAACGCTATACACATAAACTTTTTGGCGCTCCGCGCGGATTTTTCGGATCTGCGCCGGGGCCCCCCGGCGGCGCCTCCGGCGCCGCCCTTGGCGCGCTCCGCGCGGCAGGGAGGGGGGTCCAGCGTAGATCCAAGAAGTTCGCGCGGAGCGCCAAAAGTTTATGTTTATGGCGTTTTTCCTCTTCTACTTTGGCGAGCGGCTCTGGACGTTTCCTGGCGTTCTCGTGGGTTCCTGGAGGTGTTCTTGCCTCGGGATGCTTGGCAGCGGCTGCGCTTCGCCCAGAGCGTTCCGGGCCTGCCTGGATTGCCCCGAAGGGCCGCTGGAGCTCCGAGTTATGATCCCCACCTCGGCGTCTCCCTCGAAGTGGCCCTTCGCCGGAGGGGGCACCCGTGCGCTGCTTTCTTGGGGGTGCTGGGGGTCCACCCCCTGCTTGTGGCCGAGGCATCCCCGGCGTGCGCGTCGGCGACTTCCACGCGCGCCAGGCGGCGCTCCCGCGCGGCGGCCACCCTCACTCTTGGGGAGCGCTCGAGGCGTCGAAGTTCGATGTCCGCTCGAGCACGTACCTCGGTGACCGGAAGAAGTGCCCCTCGGCCCCTGCTCTTATGGATTTGATCAACGTGGACTTCACGCTGGTTGGCGAGGACGGGCCGGTATGGCGCGTCTGCGACCATCCAGACATGTTCCCTGCCCACCACGTGGCTTCGGGTGACGGGAGATTTCTTCTCGTCCTGAATTGGGTGTTCCCGCCATACCAGGCCGTCCTTGCGGCGGCGGTGGACCCGGCTGCGCCGTGGCTCCTGGGCGACGACAGCCCGGAGGGTCGCTGTTGGAAGAGGTTTGTGGAGGCGGACGAGACAGGCAGGCGAGATTTGTTCAAGATGATCGGGTCCATCGAGCAGGGCCCATGGCTAGTTAAGCGAGCGCTGCCGAAGAAGCCCGTGCTCATCGGTAAAAGGGTCAGGATGGATACACGTTACGAGCCCGGCAGGCACATGGAGATAGTCTTCGACGTCTCGGGTGGAAGAGCCGAACAATATGCCTGTAACGTTGTCTGTGGCTCTCTCAAGAGGATAGAGATGGCATTCACGGTGCTCATTGAGGCTCGCGAGGAGCAGCAGTTGCCCGAGCGCATGTTGATGAGCGGCGCTCTCCGGAACTGCGACCCCTCGCTTTTGCTGTCCCCGCCGCCCGTGGGCGGCGCGGCCCCGCGCGACGGCAGCAGGACTCCCGTCGGAGCAAGCGGAGCCCCGGGGCAAAAACCGAGCCGTCTCCTGGTGTCTCCGCGGCGGGTCCGAGCGGGGGCCCTCACGTCTTCGGGGGGCGATGCTTGGCCCTCGACCTCGCCACCGAGCCACCTGAGGCCACACCGAGCCCCGCGCTCCTGGACAGTCTTGATCCCTCGGCTGGTGCGGTCTTGCTGGCAGCAAGTTGCCCAAAAGAGTTCTGAAACATCTACACATAAGTAACCTATATCGGAGGCCTAGAGCATGACACCAACACCAATACCGGCGGTGTGCTTCCACCGAGGGAAGATGATCCCGATCTCGGTGATAGTGGTAAGATTCGGGCTTTCTAGGTGGCCGAAAGATTACTACCAGCACCAACATCCAGGATTATCTTGCTCCCGTGGAGGCAACCCCTGGTGGTAGTGTTGGTGCCAATTTCCAAGCTTCCACCTATAAGCTCGCTGGGAAACATGTGTGTTCCGGGCGTCCCTTCCGACGACCTGGGGACTTCCCGCGCTGCTTAGCGCGCGGGCGCGCGTCACGCACGACACGGTGGTGGGGGCGATTTCAAAATCACCTGTCGAAGAATCCAACCTGTCTAAACACGTGGCGACTACAAACGGGACCGTTCAGTTCACAAGCAGTACCCCTGAACGCTTCGCCGACGAACGTCAGACCGCACTCGACGTTCCCCATTCACGCACGCACTCTCGCGACTCAAATCGCAAACGGGGGGACCACGAAGAGTGTGAGGGGTGTGCCGACATGGAGCGCGCCACCATGCGAACGCAGCCGCTGGAGCCTTCGGTGGAGCTCCTTGGGGGGCCCTGCCACTGAGGCCTTCGGTGGAGTTCCCAGTCTGTCCACGAAGAGTGTGAGGGGTGTGCTGCAATGGAGTGGATAAGCTTACCAACTCTGCCACTGGGGCCTTTGTGGAGCTCCCTGAGGAGCCACGATACGCGTGCTGGGTATGCCGAAATGGGGCGGGTCACCATGTGATCCTTGCCACTGGGGCCTTCGGTGGGGCTCCCCGTGGGGCCACGGTGAGGGGTCTGCCAACATTGGGTTGATCATGAAATAGTGAACCTTGCCACTGATGCCTTCGGTGGAGCTCCCTAGGTAGCCACGAAACGTTTGAGGGGTGTGCCGACATGTGGCGGATGACCATGCGAACCCTGCCATTGGGACCTTTGGTCGGGCTGCATGTGGGGGCCGCGAAGCTTGTGAGGGGTCTGCCAACATGGGATCGGTCACCATGTGAACCCTGCCACTGGGGCCTTCAGTGGAGCTCCCTTGGGGGCCACGAAACGTTTGAGGGGTGTATGGACATGGGGTGGGTGACCATGTGAACCCTGCCTCTGAGGTCTTCGGTGGAGTTCTCTCGAGGGCCACGAAACGTTTGAGGGGCGTGCCGAAATGGGGCGGGTCACCATGCGAACCTTGCCACTGGCCTTCGGTGGAGCTTCCCAGAAGGTCACGGAAAGCGTGAGGCGTCGGCCAACATGGGGCGGGTCACCATGCGACCTGCCACTGGGGCCTCCCGGGGCCTCCCTATGGTGGCACGAAACGTGTGAGTGGTGTGTCGACATGGGGCGCGACACCATGCGACCACAGCCACTGGAGCCTTCGGTGGAGCTCCCTAAGGGGTCCAGCCACTGAGGCTGTCGGTAGAGTTCGGAGCGGATGAGCATGCTATCCCTGCCACTTGGGCCTCTGAAGGAGCCCCCTAAGGGGCTACGAAACGTGTGAAGGGGGCGGGTCACCATGCGAACCCTGTCACTGGGACCTTCGGTCGGGCTGCTTGTGGGGGCCACGAAGCTTGTGAGGGGTCTGCCAACACGGGATCAGTCACCATGTGAACCTTGCCACTGAGGCCTTCGGTGGAGCTCCCTGGGGGGCCACGAAGCGTTTCAGCAGTGTGCCCACACGGGGCGGGTCACGACGCGAACCCTGTCACTGGGGCCTTTGGTGGAGCTCCCTGGGGGGCCACGAAGCGTTTCCGCAGTGTGCCGACATGGGGCTGGTCACGATGCGAGCCTTGCGCCGCGAAACCTGTGAGGGGCGTGCTGACATGGGGCGGGTCACCATGCGAACCCTGTCACTGGGGCCTTCGGTGGAGCTCCCTGGAGCGCCACGAAGCGTTTCAGCAGTGTGCCGACATGGGGCTGGTCGCGAGGGGCGTGCCGACATGGGGGGGTCACCATGCGAACCCTGTCACTGGGGCCTTTGGTGGAACTCCCTCGGGGGCCACGAAGCGTTTCCGCAGTGTGCCGACATGGGGCTGGTCGCGATGCGAGCCCTGCGCCGCGAAACCTGTGAGGGGCGTGCCGACCTGGGGCGGGTCACCATGCGAACCCTGTCACTGGGGTCTTCGGTGGAGCTCCCTCGGGGGCCACGAAGCGTTTCCGCAGTGTGCGGGCTGGGGGCGCTTCTCCTGGCCCTCCTTCTCCGTAGACGTTTTGGCTCAAGATGACTCGTGCCCCCGGCCGAGCATTGGCACCGCTGATCCGCGGCCAGCTTCCAACCTACAGTCAACCCGCGTTGTAAGGATGGGCAATTTTCTTAAAGGCACTCTTGCAACATTGCCTCCTCGGTCCATCCTTGGCGACTTTCGCCGGCCGGGCCCCCCCGCTCGAACAGTTTCGAAATGGCCTTTTCGAGGCCCTTGCATCCCTATCGTGCAGCCTCATCATACGGGCCGGATGCATTTCAGGGGCCAGCGAACCTGCCGAGAGTGTGCAGACGGCAGCCTCGCCCTCGTTCGAGGGGAGTGAGCAGCGCGCCTCCCCCCGAATCCGACAGGCGTCATGGTGCCGCAGCCGCCGCGGCCCGGCGTGTTGCGTGGCCCGCGCCGCCCCACGGTGGGCCTGCGGGCAGTGCGCAGCGAGTGCAAACTGGGAGTGTGCAGAATCAAACGTGCGCCTGCGGAGCTGACGCCCCCCTCCCACATTTCGCAAAGCAGCATGGGATGACCAAACGCTGTGGGACGATGGTATAAAGTCGGGCCTGTCCCTGTACAGGGGGAAAATTCAAACATAGTAAAAAATAGCATGGGCGTTTTTTTTTCTGTATTTCTAAGCATCTGGGAATACGTTTTTTCGCATTTTCCATTTTTCGCTCAAAATCCCCCTGAAGGGGGACATGCCTGCCCTAACGATAGTACGTACGACAGCAGAGGTGGTCCACGGCAGACCCGCGCTCCAAGCACTGTGGCATAGGCATTTGTTTTCTGGTTATCTCGCAAGTGTGCGGCTTCCCAATTGCGCAGTTCGTCGCCAGGGATGCCGGTGTGGACTTGGAGAACATCGGAGCCTGTCGCAAGAACCTCGCGCCCTGACGGGCGAACGCTGGGCGCCGGACGCAGGAAGACAGCGACGACCAGGCAGTGGGGCAAGGTTGGCAGTAGGTGGGGGTGGCACTCGTGGGCGTCCTGAACTGCGCGCGCAGCCCGACGCAATGGCCTGATGTTAGGAGGAGATCGCGCAGCCCCTGAGCATTGCCCACCCAGGGGCTGGTCTCAGTGGGAGTCCCGATCGTGCGGCGCAGCAGGCCAAGCATGAGATGAACCAGATACCAGTGGACTTGGCGCGCAATCGGATATTCTTGGGTGACATCGACAAGGGGACGTTGAGCCCGCCATCGGGGGACGGGGGCGGGGTTCGGATGCATCTCGGGACGAGTGGTGTCGCGCAGCAGCCAGCAGTGGGCCGCGACCACAACATCGCGCGATGAAGGTGCCGGGCATGCTGGCCCCAGCGGTGGCCGTGCGAGTTCCATGCGGCGACCCGATCGTGATCGTGAAGCAGGAAGTATCATCGTTTCGGAAGTTGCCGGGTGCTGCGAATCGTCATCGGCATGGCTACTTGGTCGCAGCCGTTGCTCCTGCCCTAGACTTGAGCCGGATGCGATACGCAAAGTTGCCAGGAGCATCTCAGCAGGTGCGTCCGCCAGCTTGGACAACTTCCGCCCGAGGCATGCGAACCTCATCGACGACAATGAGTCCAGTGTGCTAGCGACTTTCTTGTTGATTTCGAAGGCGTGGGGGCTAAGCTGCTTTCTTGGATTCAGATGCCAGTTTTGGTCGAACCAAGCGGTGGCAACATGTCGATCGTCCTATGCGCAGGCATGTGCCGTGCGCGGCAGCGAGCTATAAGACTCCTATTTCAGTGTATGCACCAGGCCCTGGAATGACGGTACTGGGGTGCTACGAGGGGGCGATCGGCTATATATTTCGCGCAGGCCATTTCTAGTCTTTCGGAGTCGGGCCAGGCATGCCACAAGCGCGGAGAGGCGTTCTGAGCCGGCGGGCCAACATACAACGAGACGATCCCATTCGATGTGGACCAACCTACTTAGACGCGGCGTTCCAGTATGCGGGTTGAGTTGGCTGTTCGGAAGCACGCAGGGGCATCCTTACGTGAACCAGCCAAGGTAAGCATGCCATTGTCGCGACGTCGAATCGTCTGGCGATAGACTTGCGCGATCGGTTTGAGCCGAGTTGCAGCGTCGTCAAGGTCATTGCCTCGACCTTGGCGTCGACGAAGCTGCAGGAACTCTGA